TAAAGCAAAAAAAAAAAGGCATTAGAAATGGAGGATTTCAGAAAAGATAAAGATAATAGCAAAGAAAAAGATCAGTCAATACCTGAAGTCACGGAAGAGTCTAGCAATATAGATATTGATAGTTTTGCAAAAGACTTTGCCAGATTAAAGATCTGTCATGTTGATCAAAAAAAAGATGATAAAAATTGGGCACATAAAATAGAGTCTAATATTAAAGAATTGACAAAAGCTGTCATGGATCTTACCGAACATAATAGAACATTTAATTCATGACGAAATCAAAGGTCACTCCCATTATCTTCAAACTACAATGTCAATAACCAAAATTAAGCTCCAAGACCCCATAGGTGTTACAAATATAACCAGAAAGGACATATAGCAAGATATTGTCCAAACAGATTACAACAACAGAACAATAACCAAAGCAATGAGGAAAGAAACAATCAGATCTTGAATCAAGAAGTTAGGAGCTTGAATATTCATCTCTTTGAAGTTAAGAAAACTTCATCAAGCGAAATCAACGAATATCTGATGATAAAAGTTAAAGGTAGTGATATGTTGTTTGATATTAGAAACCTCGGAAAAAGAAGGTGATGTGATGATGAAAATGAGATGCCTACATGGGCCAGTAAAAGAACATATATAGAAAGTTTTAACCAATCTGAACAAAGTAAAAGGGAATCGATAATGTATATTCTGATTTTTGAATTAACTCAAGAATTAGACATATTGAAAATGATAGCTAGGTTGGAGTTATCAATTACATTGGAACAGCTATTTAAATGGTCTTCTAAGGCCAGAACTGAAGTGTTAAAGGCTTTAACCTGAAAGAAAAAGGAAGACGACATACTTTTTATAAACACTAAAATTAAAATAGTGTGTGGTATACAAAGCAGTCAAAATCTAAAGCTAGGAGACATCACTGTAGGTATACTATCAATTAATAGTGACTTAGATGAAGCACCAATTGATCCTGGTTCACGATTGAACCTAATGCATGAAGAATATGCCAAATGAAGAAACTTAAAATGGGAGCCAGTAACAAGCAAAAGGCATATGGCAGATGATTATTTGAGTGATTTTGTAGGGTTTATACCCAATGTTGAAGTAATAATGGAAGGTGTTAGGGTTGTACAAAGATTCTATGTAATGAAGGTAGCTAGTTTTGAGGTTTTATTGGGAATGCCTTGGCTTGCTGCTACCAGGTGCAACCTCAAATAGAAAAATAATCAATTATAGTGCTCTGTAGGTTCAAACAATAAAAAAGCTTCTTTTATTGCATTAATTGTTCCAAAAAATTAGATTAATATTACAAGAGATAACGACAATTATAAAGATGATGACATCGAGGATGTGATGACTATATGAAGAATAGATATAGAACAGACATTAGATACAAACCGAATTAAAAAAACAAAAGACATTGAAAAGGACTATTCATATAGAATTAGCATAAATGAAATATAGCCTATAGAAGCTAAAAATTTGCAAAGCTTAAGTTATCATGGACATATCATCTATTGGCACTTAGACATGACACAAAATATTGATAAAGAGAATATTAAAAATACAAACCAGGCAATGAGACTTACAAAAGAGAATTGTGATGAATTGGACTTCAGGAATAACATAACTAGAGATGACAAAAGTCGCATACAACAAAGACTAATTAAAGAAGTTCTGGAAGTGTTTGCATTTAATCTTTTAGAAATAGGAAAAACTGATTTAATTAAATATGAAGTAAGAACTGGGGGGTAAAGAAGTCCCGTCTATGTATATGCATCTAATTAGAATTAACAATCCAGAGTATGCTCTTATGTTTGAACAATACTTAAAAGACATGCTAAAGTGTGGACTTTTAGAAAAAGGCGTAGGACAATATATATATCACTATTTTTCTGTAAAGAAAAAAGATAGTGGCACAGACAAATTAAGGGTGGTTGGCAATATGAGGCCATTAAATAAATACATTATTAAAGACGGGTATCCATTATCTATTATACGGGATATATTGGAAAAAGCTATAGGTTACGATTGGTACTCCAGCATAGATGCATACAAAGGTTATTGGCAAATACGCATTTGTGACAAAGATAAAGATAAAGTAGCAGTTGCTATCCCATTGGGCATACTATGTTATACTGTCATGTGCATAGGACTTAAAAATGCTAGTGAAACTTTCTAGCATTTAATAGATGAAATAATCAGACCAGAAGAATGGAAATCTATAGTTGCCGCATATCAGGATAATATTGGACTTTGGACCCGGAGGAATGTGGAAGAACATATCGATGCAATCATTAAGCTTGTACAAACATTTGGGGGTGAGTCAATAGAAATCAAGCAAATTTTTTATAATAAAAATTTTTTATAACTTTAAACAAGAATAACTTAACAAAAACTTGATCAAATTTAATAAAATTTTTTTTAAATAATTTTTATAAACTTGTAGGATTAATTTAAAAAATTTTTTATTAAATTTGATTAAGTTTTTGATAAGTTATCCTTGTTTAAAGTTAAAAAAAAACTTGTTAAAAAATATTTGCTTGATTTCTATTGACTCAACCCCATTTAATAATGCCGGACTCATCTTTGCAGCAAAAAAATGCTACATCCTATACAAAGAACTTAATATGTATAGATTTATTGTCGGCAAACATGGTATTAAACCTGATCCTAATCATATGACAAAGATCAATAATTGGAAAATGCCTAAAACTGTTCAAGAAGTTCAATCATTCCTTGAAACAATAAACTATTATCAGTGCTTTATAAAAGGTTTTAGCACTATCGCTAAATCACTAACCGATTTGACAAAAAACAAAGTTAGTTTTATTTGGGGTACTAATCAAGCAAATGCATTTGACATGCTTAAAGAGAAAATAATCCAGAATGTAATGTTAAAGGGACCTAATTGGCAGGATGTCAAGAATAAAAGTCAACTATATCAAATAAGCACTGATGCCTGTGATGTATCACTAGGTGTTGTCTTGAAACAAAAAAACGATCAAGAAAGACTTCGTCCTATAATATTTGAATCACAAAAATTGAATTCTTATGAAGCGAACTATATAGTCATTGAGAAAGAATGTTTAGGTGTGGTTTTCAGTTATAATGCATGTGAAAGATATGTGGCAGGTACAACTTTTGATATATGGATCAACTATCAGGCCCTAGAATGGCTATTCAACAAGGCTCAATTGAAAGGACATTTGATGTGATGGATACTCGCTCTACAAGCATTCGATTTTAAAGTACATTACAAATCTGGCATAAAGCATAGTTATGCTAATAGTTTATCAAGATATCCAGATCCAATCGTGCCTATAAATTTACCTTCAGACGAAGATTTTGTGGACTCAAAGCTTTTACAAGTGGGAGTATGTGACAATTGATTTGAAGGTGATTTGCAAATTATGAAGCATTACCTGGAAACTTTGCAATAGCCGCATAAGGTAATAAAAGAAGATCTGCCTCATTTACAGAATAAAGTTAAGAGACACTGTATAATCGGAGGCAAGTTATTCAGAAGAGCAATAGGTGCTTAACCTCTACAACATGTAATATTGAATAACCATGAAAAAGCTGAAATATTGAAGGCAAATCATGAAGAATTAGCTAGTAAAGAAAGATACTGAGGAATAAATAGAACAGTCAAAAAAATATTATTAAATTATGTATGAGGTTCCAGAAGCATACATAAGGATGTAAAAGCCTATATATCATCTTGTTAAGTATGCCAAATATGTATTGGCAAACAACTTAAAGAACCAATTCACGTGACGGCCACAAGTTAGATTTTTCACAAACTCTATGTTGATTGTATAGGGCCTTTACCTAGAACTTTGGCCGGTCACGAACATATTGTCATTGCTGTTGAAAACTTAACCAGATATGTGGAAGCACATGCATTGAGGAATAAAAATGCAAAAACAATCACTGCATTCATATGGGAAGAAGTAATAACCAGGCATGGTTGCTTTGCTGAACTGACCTCAAATAGAGGAACAGAATTTAAAAATAATTTGATAGAAGAACTTACAACACAGTTACAAGTAAAGCAGCAATTCACTGCTAGTTACCATCCAGAGGCTAATGGTAGAGCTAAGCAAACAGTACAAAAACTAACTCGAATTATTAGAAAGGTTAGTACTCAAGCCCAAAACTAATGGCATGAACACTTACATGCTGCAGTGTGGGCATTGAACATTACTATCCCTTAAACCGTCAAGCGTCCATATTTGGATGCTTAAATTTATAGCCATCACGTGAGTTTGTGCGCTTTGTTTGGGTCGCTGCACTGCAGCTATAATTTGTATCATGTGGCTTGATTCTTTGAAAGTCTCTGTAGCCAATTAGAATAAAAATTTGGCAGAATAACTTTTTTACAGAGCTCTATTTATATTTAGAGTTCAAATTTGAACACCTTATTGGGACGGTTTAAGGGATAGGAAAGTTGGGCTATTCATCATTTAGATTGGTATATAGCCATGACGCTATAACTCCTGTTGAATTGACATTAGAAAGCTACCAAATCTTTATAACAAAAGAAAATTGGACAACTGATGAATTGTTGTATTTTAGAACACAACAAATTAAAGGTCTTGTAAGTGAATTGGAAAAGGCAAAAGTAAATCGAGATAAACTTCAGGAAAAATGGAAGAAATTTTATGATGAACATGCCAATTGCAATAAGGAACGAATCGAAGTAGGGGATTTAGTACTAGTATATGACTCGACGCTTGATAATTCTTCTCGAAAGTTGGATTATAGGTAAATAGGGCCGTATATTGTGCGAAAAATTGGCGAAAAAGAACATTTGTATTTAAATGAAGTGGATGGAAGTGAGTTAAGGGATCCGTTCACAAGAAATAAAGTCAAAAAACTGAAACAAAGAGTATTTTGGATGAATAAGGAAGGTAATTATGATGATGATTACTTCGAGGACGAAGGTCATGGGGGTCTAGCTCCTGTTATAGCAAAGACTAGTACTCTTTGTACTATGTTCAGGGCATATTCGGAAGTGATTTGGTCAGGATTAGTGAATCGGGTGTGCATACGGTAACTGATAGCTTGGAATAGTATCATGAGCGTAATGATATATTAATTAGATCAGTAAATAATCATACAGACATAGTTTATTTGTAATATGTGCATAATTGCGCATAAGAAATGTGTCATTAATTTGTAGTTTATTACATTAATGATGTAATATAAAGAAGGGAAAGGGATTAGTAAGA